GAGTCGCACATAGGCTAATTTAGTGGAAGATCATGGGTTTATAAGTGAGAAATACTATCTCCATTAGTATGAGACTTTTTAGGGAAGTCCAAAGCAAAGCTACGAGAGCTTATGCTCAAAGTAGACAATATCATACCATTCTGGAGATCCATGATTTCTAACGGGTACTATATATGTATGTACACGTTTTAAGTTTGTGTCTAATAGACCATTGAATTTAAAAATCGTCTTTTAAATGTTTTTCAAATATTCAATATTTTTAAAAATTAATAAATCCAGTAGATATGAAATTAAATTTATTTTTATATCGTTAAATTTCTAAAGTTTTAGAATTTTTAAATAGCACAACCATCTCTTAAACATAAAATTAAAAGTTTAAAAACTTATTAATAGACTGGCCTTTTCTTCCACTATCATTTTAATTTATTAATTTTTTTCTATTTAATTGACTTTTTTTAATTTTTTTATAAATAAACTCTCCCATCCTTTTCTGGTTACTGTTTTAATGAAAATATTGGATTTAAATATAAATAGTACCCAAAAAAAAAAAAAAAAACAAATAGAGACGTCTTAATCTTTGACTATAATTTAGTATACAAATGTGTGCTTGTTATGTGTTCATAACACGACATTAGACAGAAAAATACACATTATCCAATGATTCTTCCTTGTATTTTTATAATGTAGAGCTTCTTTTAAACATATATGATTAACCATCATGAACTTAGGAATAATAATTAATTTGACTTTAATTCATTTTAGTCTTAGCTTAGCTTAGCTTGATCTCCTAAATGTTTAGCTAAACTTTGAGTGTCTAAATGGGTTTACTTCTCCCTTTCATCATTTGCTTCCTACTTTTCCGTTTTTTTAATTTATTTATCATATAATAAGCTTATTTTATGTTTTATATAATATATGGCGTCTAAAAGTTTAATATATTCACTACGGGTAAATATATATGAAAATAAAGTTTTAGATATTAGCTCATTAAAACAAAACCGAACTAGTTAAGATTTACAGAAATTTACAAGGGATAGTAATTTCAAAGCATAATTTGAGATTTAAAAAAGAAAAAAAAAGACAAATTAAGCTTTTGCTTTTTATATTTCAATTATAAATATCTGTGCTGTGCTAGAGAGGAAAATAATTTTTTTTTTAATTTTGTGAAAAAAAAAATCTCATATTTATTTATTTATTGTTTAATCCGAAAATTATAATTATCAGAAATAATTGTGTGAGAGAGGGATCGACTTTTACTACTGTTTTATTTAATAAATGATTTATTATTATTTTTTAAATAATAATTATAAAAAAAATTAAAAAAAGGAAGGAATAGAGTCTGCCTAAACGGTCAGAGAAGAATAATTAATAAAAAATTTCCCCACATTTTGGGTTTGAATTAATGAATAAATAAATATGAAAATACTTATAAAATTAAGTCAAACCCGGCAAGTCCTTCGATGCAATTCAATTTACAATACTACCCCTATTCCAAAGTAACTCCCCCAACCTTGCATTTATTTTGTTTTGGTACTTTCAATTTGCTTTAATTTCACATTTAACCCAACATTTTTATTTTTTTATTTGTTTATTTTGTACCCTTTTATAGAAAAATTTAGTCATAAATTAATTTATTTTGTACCCTTTTATAGAAAAATTTAGTCATAAATTAATTTTTTTGTACTCAATAACCTCTGCAACAGTTATTTAAAAATAATTTATATTATTTTTTGGACTAAATTAATAAAAATACCTCCATATGATAGAATTTTCAATAATAACTTTAAATTTTTTTTAAAATATTAAAAAATACTTAGCTGAACTAAAAAAAAATAGAAAATTAAAACGTATTTATTTATAAATTGGAATGATAAATGCCGAAAATTGGAGGGTCAAATTGCAATAATAAAAAATTTAATAATAACCTTTCCTTTGCTTCCAATTTATAGCGTAACAATTAGTTTTTTATTGGACTTCCAAATTTTATTATATAGTTTAGATTAAATTATATATATATAAAAAAAATTAAAATTTAGTAATTTTAGAAGTTATAATTTCAAATAAAATAATTATAAAGAATCAATACCCATAGAAATTAATTTTTACACTTAAAACTATGAATACAAATTTCTAAATTTCTAAAAAATTACCAGGGTTAAATTTGTAATTTAACGTATAATTTTCGAAAAATTAAAATAAAACAATAACATGAAAATTTCTTCTTTAGACTTTCTTCTTGGCTTATCGACGTCACCTCACGAACTGTTCGCTATAAGATCCTCTTCGTCTCTCTCGCCATTGAATGAAGCTTTTTGCAGATCAAAACCTTCTGCTTCGCTTCATTCATCAATGGATTCCGATTTTCCTCCGCTTTTCGGATGCCCGATTTCCATGGAGCTCATGGAGGATCCCGTCACCATCTCCACCGGCGTCACCTACGAGAGAAAAAGCATCGAAAAATGGCTCTTCACTTACAACAACAAAACCTGTCCGGCGACGATGCAGACCCTCGCCGCTGGCGACTTCGTCATCACTCCTAATCTCAATCTCAAACGCCTCATTCTCGCTTGGAAGATCACTGATTCTTCTGCGTCGCCGGCGACGATCGAGGAAGTTCGATCGCTGCTTGCGACTGTTGAGTCTTCTCCATTCAAGGTGAGTTCGTTGAGGAAATTGAGATCCATGATTGAAACGAGCGATGAGATGAAATCGGGATTTGTTCGATTGAATGGGATTGGAATTGTTGTGAATGTTGTCGTTCAAATTCTCATTGATTGTTCTGATTTTTGGACGTTTGAAGCTTGTGAAGAGGCTGTGGGAGTGTTGTCTCAGCTTCCGATTTCGAACGAAGACAAACTGTTCGACGAAATGTCTAAGAGAGAAGAATTGATGAAATCCATCGCTATTGTTCTTCAAAGGGGAAGTGCTGAAGGCCGTTTTTACGCTGTGAAAATCCTAAGAAATATTGCTAAAAACACCAATTTCAATTGGGGCTCTGTTTTGGAAGAACAGGGGATCGATTTCTTCAAGCCATTGTTGGAGCTTGTATCAGACGAATTCTCCACAAAGGCAAGCTCGTGCGCATTGGATGTAATGATGGAAATTTTAGCATTGTCAAAGAGTAGTCGAGTGAAGGCGATCGAGGCCGGTGCTGTGTGCATCCTCATCGAGCTCTTACCGGAGTCAGGTCGATCGAAATGCGAGCGAATGCTGCAGATTCTGCAGAGTTTGTGTGAATGTGCAGAGGGGAGATTGGCTTTGGTGGAACATGGGATGGGAATTGCAGCAGTGACTAAGAAGATTTTGAATGTTTCAAACGTAGCAACAAAAATGGGAGTGAAGATTTTGCTTTGGATTAGTAGTTTTCACCCCAATGAAAGGGTTGTGGAAGAGATGATGGCTTGTGGGGTAGTGAAGAAGCTGATGATGATATTGCACATGGACGGCGGCGGCGGTGGCCGGAGTTCGACGAAGGAGAAGGCGATCAAGATTTTGAAGATGCATGGGAGCTCATGGAGGCGTAGCCCTTGTTTTCCAAGTGAGTTGAAGAATTATTTGATGTTTGTGAATATTGAATGATATATTGTTCTTCCTAAACAAATCAACATACCATAGGGAAAAGAGAATTAAGTTTTTTTTTTTTTTTTTGTCACATTTTTGCTCAAAGTTAATTGGGTTTTTTTTTTTTTTTTTTTTTTTGTACCCTACCAATAAATGAAATTTAAAATTTAACAAAATGGTATAGATTAATAATATATATTAGACTTAAAAATTCAACCTGTTATTACATTTCTAAAATATATTATAATGCCAACCTTGAAACTAAATAGGTAATTTCAGTGAGTTAATTAATTATTTATTTAGTTTTTGAAATTTGAAATTTGAAATTCATTTTTTATAATAACCTTTTTAATTTTTAAGCCGGACTAGGTTTCGAAAATGCTTACTTTAGAGTAATTTTATTAGATAAATTTAATTTTTAACAAACTAAAAAAAAAAAAACAAAATAACCATTAAATTTACATACGTGAACTGATCAAGGATATATATTGGTTTAATATTTTAATTTTGGGCACTTAAAATAACGTAAGTGGGCGTAATACTAATAAACATTAAGGTATTAAGGATAAAAAAAAAGGGTTTAATATCTATATTTCTTTGCAATTCTACTCATTTTAGTGAAACCCCACTTCATCAAATCATTTAAAATAAAGTGCTTCTGCTGGAAGCAAGAACAAAGTGCATATCAGCATTTTGATTATATCCCACCAACCCAACCACTTTACTCATCAGACTTCTAAGTGTTGGAAGTAATTTAATGAGGTAATTCATGGGTGTGTCGGTAGAAAAATAAAGGACCGGTTATATTTAAGTTATTACGATCTCACCATCTACTCCTTGGGGTCCAGCGTCCTATCTAGTACATCGTCCAGTGTCTGGCTCTGATATCATTTGTAAAATCTCAAACCCACCGCTAGTAGATATTGTGCACTTTGGCCCATAATGTATTTTGTCGTCAACCTCCCGATTTTAAAATGCGTATACTAGGAAAATGTTTTCACACCCTTATAAGGAGTGTTTTGTTTCCCTCTCCAATCGAGTGGGATCACTGTTAGAACAAAAATTCGTTATGGAAATTTTTTAGATAAAATATTTTCTTAATGAAAGTTATGTCACAATATCTCACGCACTAAGGTGTGAATAAATATGAAATTATTATTACTCAGAGAAAAATATAGAGACAACTGACTGTTGTTTTACTAAGTAGAGTGTTCCTATTTAAACTGAAATAAAGCATATAAATAACTCTTACAAAAATTCACCTGAAATACACCTTTTAAGTGAATAGCTTCACCTGAAATACACCTTTTAAGTGAATAGCTTAGCAACTAACTAATTCCATCTAACAATAAGTTGGTACTAATTTTGACACAAACCAGCCCACTCCAAAACAGTCTCAAAATCAACAAAAAACCATACCCTATCTTTCCCATCTTAGAAAGAAGCAACAAAATGGACACAATCAACAAAATTTCAGCAATTTCATGCACAAATGGTAGTTACTGGCTTCATCCACCATAAGCCATTCACTTAACGAGCTCATTGCTCATGTCCTCTCAATGGGCTCGCCTGGTCTTGCCTATGGTTATTCAGTTTTTTCACACACTCAAGAGTTGGATATACTTACTTGGAACACCATGTTGAGAGGCCTTGTGAATTCCAACAGGCCGAGAAGGGCACTCCAAAGTTACTTTGAGATGCTTCAATGGTCGAGAAATGTTGCTGATAGATTCACATTTCCTTCACTGCTGAAGGTTTGTTCCCTTTCATTGGAACTCAAAGTTGGGAAGTATATGCTTGATTCCGACCTGTACATAGAAACCACATTGTTAAATATGTATGCAGCCTGTGGGGATTTGAACTCTGCGAAGGTTTTGTTTGAGAAAATGGGTCATAGAAACGAAGTGGTTTGGACTTCGATGATTAGTGGTTGTACGAAAAACCATTGTCCTAATGAGGCATTTCTTCTGTACGAGAAAAATGGAGGAAGATGGGTTTACCCCGATGAAATGACCATGGCAACACTCGTACTAGCTTGTGCTCAATTGAAAGGTTTGGGCGTTGGAATGAAGCTGCATTCTCGAATTCCGGAGATGGGTACGAGAATTTGAGATGTGTTTGGGAAGTGCCTCAAATTAAGGGGTTGACCATGAATTTATAAATAAAGAATAAATCTCCATTGGAATAAGACCCTTTGGGAAAACCAAAAGTAAAGCCATGAGAGCTTATGCTCAAAGTGGACAATATCATATACCATTACGAAGGTTCGTGATTCCTAACATGTTATCAGAGTTATGCTCTTCACTTAGCCATGTCAATAGAATCCTAAAATGTCAAACAAAGAAGTTGTGAGACTTGAAAGTGTAGTCAAAAAGCGACTCAAGTGTCGAACAAAGTATACTTTGTTTGAGGTTTCCAAAGGAGTCAAGCTTCAATTAATGGGAGGTTGTTTGAGGGCTTCATAGGCCTCAGGGGAGGCTCTATGGTATACTTTGTTTGAGAGGAGGATTGTTGGTGGGTAGTCCCACATCGGCTAATTAAGGAGATCATGAGTTTATAAGTAAAGAATACATCTCCACCGGAATGAGACTTTTTGGGAAAATCAAAAGTAAAGTCATGAGAGCTTATGTTCAAAGTGGAAAATATCATACCATTACAGGAGTTCGTGATCCCTAATGTATGCTAAATGTTGGGAGCTAAACACTACAAAGCAAGTATTTGATCGTTTGTCTGAAAGAGACGTGTATGCTTGGTCGGCTTTTATTTTTGGTTATGTCGAGAACAATAGAATCATAGAGGCGATGCAGTTAATCAGGGAAATGGTTGGTGGCTTGAACATGCGCCCGAATGAAGTCACGATTCTAGCTGTACATGCATTCGAAGTGCGGAGAAATAGATGTTGCCAACCGAATCTTTGATGGGATGTCGAAAAGGGATTTGATTTCATGGATTCTATGATAATTGATCTTGCTCTACACGGCCTCGGCAGGGAGGCTCTCACCCGGTTCCATCTAACGCAAATGACAGCCTTAAGATGATTAGAGGTACTGAGTGCCTGCACAGCTACGCAGGGTTAGTTCAAGAGGGCAGGGAGCAATTACATGAAAGGGAGCTTTTTTTAATGGAATGAATCATGTTAGGAATCACGGATCTCCACAATGGTTGGTATGATATTATCCACTTTGAGCATAAGTTCTCATGACTTTGCTTTAGGCTTCCCCAAAAGGCCTCATACCAACGGAGATGTATTTCCTTATTTATAAACTCATGATCATTCCCTAAATTAGCCAATGTGGGACTCCCTCCCAACAATCCTTCCCTCGAACAAAGTACACTATAGAGCCTCCCCTGAGGTTTATGAAATTCTCGAACAGCCTCCCCTTAATCGAGGTTCAACTCCTTCTCTTGAGCCCTCGAACAAAGTACACCCCTTGTTCGACACTTTAGTCATTTTTAACTACACCTTCGAGGCTCACAATTCTTTGTTCGACATTTGAGGATTCTATAGAAATGGCTAAGTTTAGGGCATGACTCTGATATTATGTTAGGAATCACGGATCTCTACAATGATATGATATTGTCCACTTTGAGCATAGGCTCTCATGGCTTTTCTTTGGGATTCCCCAAAATCCCTCATACCAATGGAGATGTATTCCTTACTTATAAACTTATGACCATTCCCTAAATTAGCCAACGTGAGAGCATTATGGGTTCATGCTAGATTTTTTTGTCTAGAGAGGGTTGTTTGGCAGAAGCTCGAGAATTTATCTGAGTAATGTCTTTAGAACCAAATGGTGCAATCTGGGGCTCTATGCTTGGTGCTTAACGAGTATATAACAATATTGAGCTTGGGGAGGAAGCGGCTAGATGCCTGCTAAAACTTGAACCAACAAATGATGGAGTTTACATTTTGCTCTCCAATATTTATGCAAGAAGGAAAGTGTGGAATGAAGTGAAAAAAGATTAGAGAATTGATGAATCAGACAGGAGTTCAAAAGCACCTGGTTGCAGTTCGATCGATAATGCCCCACATTCATTTCTGGCGGGAGATTGTTCTTACCCAGAAACAACTGAAATATTTATGATGCTTAGACAAGTTAGAGAGAAGCTGAAGCTGGCAGGCTAAGTTGCAAATATCTCAGAAGTTTACTCAACTTTGATGATATTAAGAAGGAAGAATCGGTTTCTTAACATAGTGAAAAACTAGCTTTATGTGATGGCTTATTGAAATCTAAGGTAGGGGGAAGAATGGTTATTTTGTCCTATTTGGACTTTTCCTTTTAGGCTTTCCCTCAAGGTTAGTAAAATGCGTCGGCTAGGGAGAGGTTTCTACACCCTTATAAAGAATACTTCGTTCTCCTCTCCAACCGATGTGAGATCTCATACTTAAGCTTGCTCAGACTATCATACTACAATAAAGATTTACAAAAGGTAGATAAACGGTGAGAGATCGAAACCATTTCCACCATTTCAAAGATGGTTCCTGTTCTTGTAGGGATTATTGGTGAAACATGAATGGCTCTACAAAATATATATATATATATATATAAAGGATACATTGTAAGCATAAATTAGCTTGCTCACATTTCTTTTTAATTTTTCAGAGAGATAAACGTGTGTTTAATACTACAAAAAGGCTAACTAAATCTCTTGATACTAGGTAATGAGGTTACAAATAAATTAGGGAAGTCTAACTATTTTTCTTATTTAATGAGGTTACACAAATATCTCTAATAATCACACAGATGTAATTAAGGTCATTCCCTCAACGTAATAAAATTTCATTGATGTTTGAAGTTGAAAGGAATGTGCAATCCATAATGCTCGGTAGAAAATTTAGAATACCTTTATCACAGCTTAAGCGGTATCTGTGGATGGATGATGTGATATTTCCTTCCCTCCTGCGTCAATAGAAAATAGGTTTACAAGAAATAACAAAGGACAATGTTATCATCTATAGCATGGTGTAAAATTGAAATTTTATTATGAATACATTATTTTACGTATGTTCATTGATTTTAGAATACATTAAATCAACTATTGATTCCTCATTGAGGAAGGCTTATTTCCAACAGTCTTACCCACCACCATGTATAGACATAAACAACTAGCAAAGTACTAATATATATTAACTGAGTAAGTTGCAAACTCATGGTAACTAGAGCTTTGAAGTGGCTGAAGCAGGCAAGTTGAGTCTTGCAGGGAGCTTTAGGTCTTCCCACTCTTCGTCTTCAATCCTAGAGAAGTACCTCTCAACCATTGCATCAGTGACAAGCCCCAGCTTTGAGGGTTCCCACTAAAGAAGAATATAA